GGATTAGTACGGAGAGATTGAGACAGAAGGAGGTACTGGATAGGGAGACCGGGATGGTTTATAATGTGAAGACAACAACAACAACAACAACTCATGAACGCAGGCCCCACAGGGAGGAGGTGAGACAAGCATGCAACCCCCCCTCCTATGTGACCCCGGTTGGGTCATCTAGCTGGTAGAAGTGGAGGATAGGGGCCAGAGGGGCAGACGACAGAGTCCAATGATGGGAGAAAAAAAAAATGTCACCATCGAGATTTAAATTTTGTGGACAAACAAACGTCGCCGTGTTATGCTGGATTAAATAGCGTACAGTGACCTGGTGAGGGCGCTAGTATGGGACATAATCTAAGTTGATGGGCGTGGCGACCTTTGACTTTTCTGTTCAGAGGCGCAACGTGCAAAAATAGCGCAGCGCTCAAATTATGGAACACCAACAAAAGTTCGCCTGGTGCTGCCTGCCGCCAAGTGCCGCTCGCTGCAAAAAACAAGCACGGGTAGAGTAACGGAGGGTATTGTGGTACGAAGTAGGCTCGTTTCAGGGGATGTTCGGGTTCTGTCCCCGCTTTGCGGCGGAATTGGCATATTTCTGTGGACGTACGTGAAGGACGTTGAGCAGCGGCAGCAGCAGCGCTGCCGCTCATGAATTCAGAAGAGAGAGTCTACCAGGGCAAGGAGCAGAAGGCGAGCTTGAGTGTCCGGTTACCAGTACGTTGACAGAGTTCGAAGCGGTGGTTGCTTCCAGCAAGTGAGTGCAGAAGTACGGTCGAGCAGCAGCAGTGTTGACCGACTTGAGTTGAGTGCAGCAGCGAGCAGAACCAACGACAAAGTTTCCTCTTCAAAGCATCATCCATTATCCTCGGTCTTTGAGTCTTTGATCTAGCATCTTCGGCGACAACCGTCCGAGACATAGAGCAACCCACTGACAAGAACCTCGAACCTAGCACAAGAACCGTTAGTGTAGAGCCACATCGCTCTGCATTGGATTGGTTGATTGGGTCATCAACAGAACCCGAAGACCAAGTATCACATATTCCCGTGTGTGATCTTTTTGCGGAGCGACTCTGGCGCATGTGTCCCCGCATCGCGCGGGGTCACGCGCATGTGATCTATTCGCGCTGTCTAGCCCTTGGTCGCCAGCGCCCAGAGCACCAAAATATGTATCGCTAGGAAGAGTAACCTCACTGCTACCCTCACCACAGAGAGGGGTTAGTCACAAAAGGGTTAAATCTCTCTCATCCTCGCATCCGCCTCGCGCCCTGCGAACCATAATTCAATGGGGAAAACCTAGGGGTGGCGTGGAACCCTCCCCCTCCCAGCAATGACGCCTCTGTGTGTTTATTTTCCGTGAAGAACGGACCCCCTTTTTTTTTTTTTCCAGCATCTCAACAAAACGCGGGAAAACGTAGCAACGGAGGAGGGAAGTGGTGTGGTTTAGCACCGGGAGGGAGAGGAGAGAGAGAGGGAGAGGGAGAGGAGAGAGAGCCAGAGAAGAGGGACGCCAGGTAAGGTCGTCGGTCTCATTATCTGCTGTGTTGCATTCATTACCGCCCCATGCTGTGGCCGCTTTTGTTGGTGCGAGATGTTGGCGCCCGAGCGAGAACATGTCTGTTACGTGCCACCTCCCATCACCGCTTTTGCTCGCTGCACTTCACATACTATAACAGCCACACGGCTCGTCAGCGCAGGACCAGCAGCGTATGATATATTCCATAGTTGTGCTGTTTCCTTGGGCTGTATTTTTTTGTCCTGTCGACTGCTGTGAAGAAAACCCCCCAGCGGATCAAGATGAGAGGAGGGACTTTGGAAGAGTGGCGTTGTGTAGCAGCACACACCAGCAGGAACCAGTAGGTGTGCCCCTTGCCAGACACCTCGAGTGCCAAAGCCTGCATCCTCTGTGTACGTTTGCGGACGTTGGATCCCGGGAAGTGAGAGAGCAGGGGACCCTGGTCGTTGCTGCCGGACAGTCGAAACGATCGAGTTGTAATTGGATTCTCGGCTACAGCAGCAGTTTGTTTGATCTTGCTCTTCTTCTGCTCCGGGAGGTGGACGCCGTTAGGTGTTTTCGGTGTTTGCCCGCGGCCGCAACTGATTATATACTCGTTCCAAGATGCGCGTTACTGCTGCAGGTTATAGCTCCCTCACGCTTTCACACCACCGAAATAGGATTTACCGACCTCGGTATTGTCAGGTCCAAACTGCTGGCTTTACTGCCTTGCGCATCGTCGATGACATGCTGTATGCATGTAGTAGACCCTATGCTTAACTGGATCGCTGAAAAACAATGCTCGAAGCCCGCCGCCCTGAAAACCGCTTCGCATTTTCATCTCAAATCGACATGTCACACACATTACTGCTTGGCGAGATCCTGAACAACCAGTGTACCGTATTACCGCTACTACAGTAGTTGCAGACGTTCGCCCATGAGCCTGCGCCAATGGCCCAAACGCTGCTACGGTGCGCGGTACCTTCGTCCGTTCGCAAGACTCGATTTTTTTTCCGATTTGAAATTCGGGGGCAGGGGGAGCGACTAATCACAACCCCCCAAGACCAGGAGTTCCGCTTGCTGGATGTTGCAGCAAGCAGGGCGCGTCAAGGCACATCGTCAATTCGTCCTTGCCTCACAGACCCCTGTTCGTTATCAAACCGTCAAGGCTGTACACTCCACTCCTGTGAGCTTCTCTTCTCGGAGCTAAGTTTGGGCAGCTAGTGAATGTGCGCTAAGTATGCCTTCGATATGAAAGCATTTCACCGTTTCCAGTTTACTTTCAACCAGTTCCCGTTTGGAATTCATAAGGAATTCAAAGCAGGATCGTCCAACATTTTCAAAGTGGGATTCCTATTTTATCATGCATGATAAACACACGCATCCCCAGTTCCCCAAACTTGGCTCGAAGAGGCTCACAGCAATGCAACTCTGTGCGGCCTCGAAGGTTTGGTTACAAGCGAGTCTCCGCGAGGCTAGTACTGAGTGCCAACGAGCGTTTATTTCCATCGAACGGCGCAGAAGTCCTGCGGCCTCACGTGGGTTTCGATGTGAACGGCATTAAATCAAGATTTCAGATAAAAACTCCTTTTCAACTGGCCTTACAAATGCATAGAGTAGACTATGAGACATGCGAAAGTACAGCAGTTTCATGCGTTTTGTTGTCGTAAGCGTGTACAACGGAAGAATACATTTTCATCGCTCTCGGCGGGAACACATCAAGCTTTCCGGACATGCAAGTGCATTCGAGCAAGGCACGCATGTCCCACATTTGCGGAGATGCCGACTGGGAGTATCAGAAAGTACTTCACCTTTCTCGTGGCTCACATCTGCTACTGCTGTGGGTACCTAACGTACGTCGCCCTCCCTGTAGATAGTGAGCTCCAGCTACATGTTTCTAGGACGTTCCACCGCTGTACTACTTGTGATAGTTTGCTGCCCACTAGAGTACATTTGCTCTGTTTGAACCGTGCCGTTCTTTGTATGGCGTTTCATCACATTGCAGGAGGGAAGGCGGGACGGGTTGCCGCACCGGGAATCAGTACCGTGGGCATCGTAAACATATCGATAGGATTCGCACATTCCGAACAAATAAATATCCAGCCCTGGCCACTTACGATAGACGAAATATATGATATCAATTCTTCAAGCCAAGAGTGCTCGTCTCTGGCCAACCGTTCTATTCTCTCCCGCTGTGCCTCTCTGTGTCGCGCCCTGCCTTCTGCACGTTTGAAGGTCGCTTTATTTTGCGCCCGGAACGGCGCTACAGATCAGAGTTCCTGCGTTAGCATCAACGTGCCGCTTGATTTTGCCGTATGGTTTAGCAGTGCAACAGCTCTCGTTTAGCTGTGTGTGTTGTGGGGCGTATTCTGAAGAACGGCATTTGTCGGCTGGAGTCGGTACATGAGCTCAATCGTCGGAGCGGCGCTACCCTGGGTTGGAGAAAAGGTGTCTGACTTGCTGGGTCGTCAAAGGGAGGCGAGCAACAACATGGTAGCGGGCGGCAGCGGCAGGGCTGGCGTAGTCGATGCTGATATCACTACGGCGACTGCAATGAGGATGGGTGCGCCTTCATCGGCTCGAGTGCGCACCGCGCGAGCTGCTGCGTCCAGCAGCAGGAGGGCAACGCAACTCAAGAACGGCAGCAACAGCAGGAACCGCAGCGGTAGCAGTAGTGGCTGTATTTTGCCCGTCCGGCGCGTTCGCAAAAGAGCAAATACGTCTCCCATCGCCGGTACTTCCCGGCACGAGGCGAATAGCAACGGTGCGGCTGGAGCAGCAGGTCGCACTAACAATGATTGCGCGCCGCAAGACAAAACGCCCAAGGGGACATCAGTGTGGGAGCCCGAGAACTTTCAGGGTGGCGGCGGCAGCAGCAACACGACAGGCGTGCTGAAAAAACGGCGCTCCACGGACGCCCTCGCCGGTAGCAACGCCAATGGGCTCCCATCTCCCCCGCCAGGAAACGGCAACAGGGCCGTGTCTGGAATGGGGCTCCACTGGTCGGGGAAGAGCAGCATTTCGACACACAGCAAGGGTGGGGACGCTGACGTCGCCGGTGGCACGCGGAGCTTAACTAGTGAGGATATCGTTAGCGGTAGCAGTGGTGCGGGTGTAAGAGCGTCAGCGGCGACGCGGGTGGGAGAAGGTCGGGCGCGAGGGCCGTCATCATCTACTCATGATGCGCGGGTGGTCCTCCCGGCAACGAGAAGCACTAGGGGAGGCACGATCCCGTCGGCCATTGCAGAGGGTAACGCTGGGATCAGGAACAACAGGAAGTCCAGCAGAGCAGAGGAGGGGCAGAGAGACGTGGGAAATTTGACGCCCTACGATGCCCAAATGGATGTAATCGAGGTGAGTGTTGTTCGTTCTTCCTGGGTTGGCCTAGTGTCATTTTTTTGCCACCTTCCAATCCTATGTTTGGTTTCGACGACCATATCATGCTCTCGTTGTACCTGCGTGCTGGCGTCAGCTTCTTGTGGTCACAAGATTGAGCCATCATTGAGCGCCATACCCATCCCGGCTGGCCGTCCTTGCGTGTCCCCTAGATCCCGGTGGGTGACCAATGTCGTCCTCAACGTGATGCTTGCGTTTTCCTGTGCTCGATTGGGATGCGTCTTTGTCGCCGCTCGTACCGACACTTTCCCTCTATGCCGCAAACATTCGTGTGCATTTCCCCTCTCGTCGCGGTGCAGGCCGAGAGCTGCCCGTCGAGCTTGACGCAACAGCGGGCAGAGGAAGCCGGGCGACGAGCACAAACGGAGCGGTTTTTAGCGCCTCTTCCTCCCGTTGGAGCAGGCGGAGTTGGGGGGGGGAAAGCCGACCTGACCATCTCCAATTGGCCACCTCGAACGGATAGCGTTAATGGGACCGGTGACGCCCATGTCGTCAGCGGCAGTGGCGGCAACGGTGTTGGTAACGGCTACACGAACGGCAAGAGCAATAGGGCCTGCTGGAAAACATCGTCGGCATCGTACTCGAACTCCTTAGATTCCTCCGCCCCTGTTTTCAGCAACGGGGTGCTCGCTCCCCGACCTTTTTCGTCGACCGGTAAGGGCCGCAGTTTTGACGGCAGCGGGAAGAAAAGTGATCGCTCCGAAAATGGCGGGGGTGGGGCCGCCGGCGCGCCTAGATCCCTCCGTGCGGTACTGAGAGGGCGAAACGTGGCCTCAAGGGAGGTGGGATCGTCCTCCGGCTCGTCAACTAATACTCATGCCAACGAGGATGCCGAACGCGGCGTTGGTGTTGGCGGGGGCGCCGTTTCTGCTGCTCCTGAGGTCGCGCCGAAAAACGGAGGGCGGTTGGCCTGGTGCGGGGACAGGGGATTGTTGGCGAGGCCACCTGCTACGCTGCAGCCTCGCCAGCACCCCTTTGTGAGGTCGTCGTCGTTGTCCTACGCAGCTTCCACCAAAGGCCTGGCTTCCGCCGCCGGCCGAGGTGCCCATGCGGCCGGCAGTTCCTCTGCGTGTGATGCACTTTCGGGACGGTGTTCACAACGGCAGTCTACGGCGGCGGCGGCAGCGTGCCTTGGGCGTCTCGATTTCACCGCCGTCAATGTGGATGCTGCCGGCGCGGCGTACCCGAGCGGTTGTGGGGGGGGTGGTTCCGACCGCCGCGGCGATGTGGCCTGGAGTGGGAGATTCGCGAATGGCGGTAGCACTGCCGGCGAAGGCCATGGTCGTGGTGCGGGTGGGATAACATCCGGAGATCGAGAAGCTAGAGATGGTCCCGAAAGTGTGACGCAAGAGAGTGGGGAAGTACGGGTGATGGAGAGTGTGGAAGTTGGGGCTGATGATGTCGCTACGATGTCATCGTCCGCTCTGTCGGTGACAAGCAGGGAAGACGAGGAGTCTGACACGGAAGACGTGTACATGATGGTGGACGACCGCTACGACCCCGACTACCACCCTTTCGCCGAGAGCCTTTTAGACGCAAATTCTGGGGACGAATCAAGTATCCACATGAGCGTGGCGATTGAGCATGATAACCATCACAACGAAGACGCCGCGGAGGCGAGGAAGACTAGAATGAGGGCTCGAGTGGCGGCGGAAGGAGCGTATCGAACACGGGAGAAGACATCAAGTTATGCGACCGTGCTCGGGGATGACAGCGAAGAGTGCGCAGGAGAGTCGTCCCTTGCGCCAAATGGTTCCGATTGCGGTAGTATTGCAGATGGCGATTCCGGCGGGCACCTGTCCGTCGGAGAAGAAGCGCCTGCGACGCGGGGCGGCGGCAGAAAGGAAACGCTTAAGTCCAAGTCGGCGCGGCGTTGGGCCAAAGCAAGCGCCATGGCAGAGCAATGCAATGACACGGATAACAAGCCAGATCTTCGCGTCGCCAAGCCTCGGACGCGAACGGTTATGGAGCCTCTGGTCCCTCCGCAACCGCCTCCGGGGCCGCGACAGTGGCCGGCGCGGCCGGCGAATCGCGCGCTGGTGTACGTCGCAGCGGCACAGGCTTCCCGAAGGGCTCGGGGATTCACCGGGTGGTCGTTCCCCAAGCTGCCCCCCGCTCTCGTACCCCCCAGTCTGCCGTTGGCGGTAGAGAAGCCAAAAAAGGAGGAGCTAGACGTCGAAGAGGAAACGCCGGGCGCTGACGCAGGTGGTGGAATAGAAGAGGGATCCGTGGTGGCGGCGGCTGATAGAAGGAAGAAGGGGAGGAAGTGCGTGGAGTCTGGTAAGCTGCACAGTTTCTTGGGCTTTGCGAAGGACAACCCCCCCGGCGTTCCGTCGCCGAATGAGCTGGGGTGGATGTCGCTGGGACCGATGCACACACCTGAAGGAAGGGCTGCCATCAAGCGGCAGGCGCTTGAGGAGAAGCGGCGTGCGCTGGAGGAGATCGCCCAGCGCAAGCGCGAGGAGCTCGAGAGGCGGAGACTCGAGCTGGAAAGGATTGCCCAGCGGAAGCGCGACGAGCTCGAGAAGCGGAGACTGGAGCTGGAGAGGGTAGCCTACCAGAAGCGGCAAGAGATTCTTGACGCCCTCCGCATCAAGGTACTTTGCATGCACTTGGTGATGTGCAGTAGAGTTTGGCATTGTGCGCTGCTCATGTATGAAATGGCTCAATTTCACATATGCAGATGATCGTCGAAACCGCTTGCTACCGGCGGAGCAGATAATCTATCTTGGAGTCAGTGTGCGGGTGTCCTAGTTTGCATGTCACACGCCTTTCGACCAATGCACGTGAGCGTCTTGCTGGGGTCGCCTGTCGCCAAAACCCTCGGGCATGTGTTTGTGTGTGTTTGTTCCATCACTTGTGGCGCCAAGTCTCGCCAACAAACAAGGTCACAGGACCTTTCGTACGTTGCATTTTGGTGTTGCCCCACCTTTCTCCAGAGGCGTTTGCCTTGATTTTCATCGCGATTTTCATCGCGAGGGTGCAGTGATTCGTTTCTGTCGAGTGTGAAGTCGAAGTAAATGACATGTTCAGCTAGCGGGTTTCATCACTACGCCTTATCGCTGTGTTTTCTAAACCTGCTCACCATGGACGTGGCGTCCCTCCTTTGCAGGAGGAGATCGCGGAGGCCAGACGTAAACGTCGCCTCAACGTCCTTTTCCTGGGAATGACGAGAGTGGCTGAGTACGACTCACGGGGCGGACTGACCAAGGGAATGAAGCGATTCGATCTCGTAGAGAGAATGGTACGAGACGACGTGAACGAAGCCAATATGAATCCTTTGAGGTGAGAGGGGAGGTCATTTTCAAACACCAACAATCACTCTACAACAGGTGTACTCTATTTGCAGGGATGCTTGATGAATAGGAAGGACGTGGCATTTTTCGGCATCTACAACGCTCATTGTTACGATTCCTAATGATCTTGGCTTCATGCTGTTTCATTTGTTACATTCAAGTTAGCCTTTCTGGTGGCCCGGAGGTTTGAAGGAATAGGTGCACATAATTCACTCTCTTCATTTTTCTGTGGGTGCTTCTGTACGCGTCAAGCAGATGGATCTCATGATGTTTTTGACGCCGCGCATAGACGTGGACCCCTCCTTGCCATGACGCTGAGCAATGTGGACGCCTTTCGACCTCCGGCATCGGCACAAAGAGTGGTATTGCCAGCTTGGGCCCGTGTACACATGCTGTCTCGCCCCTGGATGCCTACGGCCTCTCAGGGTCTGGATCATTATCCCGCTCTCATGCGTCGTTTACACTCCCGCGCCGGAGTGAACTCCTCCCCATCTCAGCCTCGCCAGTCGGGGCAGTGCTGCTGGCTTCGCTCAATGCTGTAGTTTTCTTTGGGACGTCGTCCAAGACGGAGAACGTGCTGTGATTGGCTCTGCGAGTGTTCCTCTGCTGCGTTACTCCTGGCGGCCCTTCAAGGAAATGCGGCAACTGCCTCATGTTCTGTTCCGCACGTGCACTCGTTGCCCCTCTCCAGCATGTTGCTTTGTGCTTGTAACCACTTTCTCCTTGCACCTCGACAGGGACACGGCGAGGGTGCTTGCGATGGAAGCACTAGGGCACGAAGTCCGCTGCATCAGCAAGGTCTCCACTCCGGGAGAGTCCGACTGCGAAAACTCTAGAAGGTTCGCCAAGGAAGCAACGATTCCGGTGTTATCCACGTTTCCGATGCCCAAATCCAACCCGTTGATGGTTTTCTTGTGTTGAGCTTGTACCTTCGGCGAAGAACCTTATGAGGGGCGCAAGTACGGTTAAGCGCATTTTGTGTAGACAGTCGCCTGCGACTTTTTCTTATGCGACGAGCCTAGTCACTCCCTGCGACTTTCATATTTTTTGTTCATTCCAAGTGACGTAGTTGCCTCAGGTCGCCCCTCGTTTCACTTTTACTGGTCCGTGTTGACCGTTGCCGTCCTTTCTAACCAGTATTATTCGTAATATTCTGCTCGTTCAAAACAACTGGTCGATTGTTCGTATCAGCACGAGGGCTCACGGCGGTCCCACAGGACTGGGGCGCTTCCTGGCCACCGACATCACCAACACGGGCGCATCCAGAGGCTTCTTGCGGAAAATCGAGGCAAGCTATAGTCTTCTGCTTGTCGTAGGGCGTATCGCCGTGATCATCCGCCCCGGGCCCTGCTGCCAACCAATACCGGGAAGCGTTTCCCCGATTTTCCAGGATGAACACGATCCAGGCGCAGGTCCCTGAGAAGAAGTGTTGTGATGCGCGAAATTGAACATCGGAGGCTGGCTCAATCTAGGCTTCCAAGAAGCTGCGCTCGCTCTCGCATGCCTCCATCCTCTGATGACGGTTTGGAACAAACGGCTTTCTGAATTTGCGCAAGTTGCCTCTATCGATCTCGGGCTCTGTTTTTAAGCAAATGCGGATTATTTCGAGCCAGAGGCAGGGTAGACGACAAGAGAGAAGTATTCGCTAGAAGGCACTGTGTTGACGGGATGTATACTGCCTGCTTGGTTTGGGCACTTTGTACCGACGTCCAGGAAAAGTGGGAGAACGTCACGTTTGACACGGTGCTGCTGGACCACTACTGGCTCCCTGACTCGGTCGTTTGGCTGAACAAGGGGTACATGGTGAGTTGCAACCGGCGAATTATGGTGGAGCGGCTCGGACAGACGGGTTTCCTTGTCATTACTAGGTCTGGGCATGCGTAATTCGCGTACACGACGGTTCGCTTTTCTATTTCAATTGATTCTCTCGTCCATGCTTTGATCGATCGCCGTTCAGGTCACTGTGAGACGTTGTTAGTTCATAATCGATGGGTCCAATCAGCAATATCTGAGTGGTGGATGAGCTCCACCCCGTTGAAAATGCGTTTGAGCATGGGTTGGTGTCTCTGGTCCACGAAATTCTATCAAGACCACTCAAGCGTTTGACGCTGTGCCATGTGTACCATCGTCATTTTGCCTTATAGGCAAACGACGGAGGTTTGATACAGAACTTGGTTCGGATGACAAAGACGCAGCTCCTGAGCGACGACTTCGAGATCATTCTCCCGATCAACCAGGTAGGCAACCACCCCGCCTCTTCAGGCTGCACTTGCCCGCGCTACCCCGTACCATCGTGCAGCAACGACGCACCCAAATCCTCAAGGTCGTGATAGAGGTTGATCTCGGCACGGAAATTACCATGACCGGACGACACAACTTCAGAACGCTTGTCGAGAGATCTCGCGGTCACCATCGAACAATCAGACAACTCATGTGTATGTGTGCTTTGTTGCTCCGTTTATCTACCCCAGGGAAGAAACCTAGCCTTGCGCAAAGCAGTTCTGGCTCTTGTTCGAGGGCAAGCCTAGAACACTTACAGTGATATTTGTTGGACCAACAATGATAGATCAGAGACCGGGTTTTGGTTGCTTTCCTCATCCTGCTTTCTGCACGCCCAATACCGTGCTCTATGTGCGAGCTGTCGATGTGTCTTTTGCGCCACCCTCCCTCACCTTACTGATCTCGGAGTGCACGGACAGCACTACAAACCGCCCCGGAACATATTTTGGAATTCCACACTACCGCAGCGGGCCGAAACATGAGTGACACCGTAGTTGCTTGTGCCCTCGCAACATACGAGTATGTATTCGAGGCCATTGAGGTGTTGCGAATGCGCGTTGTGTACTTACATGTCACTGAATTCCATTTCCCGTTCTTGTCGTTTCCTGCTCTTGTCGGCCGGAGCATGGCTTGCAGGAATGAAAGCATGCCGATACGTGTAGCATTTAGACAGCGGGCCAGGGGCCGAATATATGCTGTACACTGCGTGCACCATAGTCCGAACACCTTTTGTTTGTAACGCTTGCTTGCTGTTTATGTTGACCTGCCGCAGGCGTTTTTTGAGCTCCTGTTGCCGCACTTCTCGGACCTTGAACGGTGAGAGACAGAGACGGCACATTCACACACACACAGAGGAAGAGAGAGAGAGAGAGAGAGAGAGAGAGAGAGAGAGAGAGAGAGAGAGAGAGAGAGAGAG